TAAGAGAGGCCACTTCACACTGGGACTCATGCACCTCCTTCTTAAAAGGCTCAATCTCAGCCAAGGCAGAAGCTAACTTGGCCTGATCTTCAATTCTTTGGGCCCTCAGTTCGTCAGCCTCTGCCTTCCTCCTCTTTACTTCAGCCTCAACAACCTCCAATTTCTCGTATGAGGCCCTGTTCTTCCGTTGAATGACAGACAACACTTCTTGACATTCCAGGGCCACTCCAAAGGATCTCGCACTTTGGCTAACCAAAGTGGCAGTGAGGTCCACCGTATTACAGGTGGCCACATAGTTCTGTCATCTCTCAGTCCAAAATTTATTAAAATTTTCTATGGCCTAGGACTTCAGGCGGCAGCATCTCCAGGATTGTCGAGGCGATCTTGTCGTCCCGCTGAACAAGGAAGTTCCCAGAAATTAATGGATGAAGTTAGGTTAAAAATTATGAATTTTTGAATAAAATGGAAAAGTCAATGGAAGAAACCATCGTTTGAGTGACATCTCCGTGCCAAGCGAGTGACGGTGTCCCTGTTTTCAACGCTTGAGTGGCCAAGTCGACGGCCAGCAAGCGCAAACGTACTTGTGCAACTTTTCGAGAATAGGTCACAACTATTCAACCTCTATATATTAGACCCCTCGATGGTTTCATTCACTTCAGTCTTATGCATTCATAGCATATCATATAACGTACAAATTCTGTCTAAATTCTGCATCAAAACATCCTTTCATTTTCATAAAAAAATGAGTTCAAAACACTTTTTTGGTTCATTGTTTCAGTGATTCGAAGTGGTGCAATCACTTGAAGTTGATCATTGCATTTGGGAGACGATTGTCATTCACACAGCCCAATGTATAGATACTCTGAAGCAAATAAAATGCTATCCTTTTATTCGTTAGGAGCTGGATGAGAAGAAACTCTCACGGAGGGGGAGCAAATTCAAATAGAAGAACTCACATTGGGTTTAGGGATAACCAGAACTCATAAATTTCACAACGTCAAGGTGACACTCTAATTAGATTTGGCTCAAAACTATTTCTTCGAATTACATTCCATCCATAAATGCATACATTGTACATTTTGCCAATGATTGAAAATGGTTGAGAACCCAAACCTAACCTCGTTCTGCATATTGAATATCACTGGTCACATGTTGCATGTTAGATATGTCAAACTAATCTTGGACAAATGCATTGAACGCGTATTTAGAATTGCGTGGAAATATGGTTAAGAATATGAGATCTTTGTCACAACTGCAAAACAATAAGCATAATAAAAATGACTAAAAAAATTACTCATGGTCAGTTGGTCACTTATATGACATGCAGCATACGCTTTACAGCCTGCTAAAGCCATTTCCGCGTGGCCAAAAAGTTAGAAGTCCCGCAGCTTTAGGAATATTATAATCACCCAATTTGTGAAAACTTTCATGCTAACAAAATACTCCATTTTTTCCCATCCATTTCATTTTCTCAATAAATAAGAGGATTTGGATTCTTTATTAACGAAGTAATGCCAGGCATCTAATGTTTGACACAACATATATAATAATATATGTTGAACATGTTTAGGACACAACATTTGACGGTAGGACAAAAAAAAATTGAAAACATTTTTCCTTTTATTATTCAATATCATCGGCAACTTATCAAACATGAAACATAACAATAATGAATATTAAGCTCACATTTAAAATAATATAACTTTGCTGGCTTTAGACATGGACAATTGCCTCGTACTTTCCTAGAAGTTCATCAAAAAATGAAATTAGTAGATGCCATAAGTGACCATGTGATTACAGTACGACCCTCTCTTTTTGGAGGGTCCATTTAATTTGGATCAACTAAGACAATTTGCCTTGTTATGCGATGAAAATATCTATCATTGTCTCTGAATTTCTTTGGTTACCTCTTCAAATATAAAGTCACGTCTAGGGACCCAATTATTCAAACTTAGACATTTATCGTTTTTATGATTTTTTCAGATGCTTTAAATAGAGGAAAGGATTGATACTTTGCGGTAAATATCCATTTCATTGTTTACGGATTCTTTTTGACTTGCCAACTTCATTGCTATTGTGTATTAAGTTAATGACAGATATTTTAATTAAGTTAGACAACACAAAACTAAGACTCACAATTATCAATGCTCGAAATTAGTTTAGAGGTGCCCTCGTAGTCACGTTTCAAACCTAACATCAATACAACTTAGAATATATGTAATTGGGTAATTATATTCATACCACAATTTTTATTTATTGCATCACATTTTAATTGTACTTCAAATTCTTAATCTTTGATCATTATAATATTTATGTTCCTAACGATTTTTTATGTCATTCTTATCCTCAGACTTTTTGTTAGCTAACATATTTTGTATTTGATAACAGATTTATATCCAAAAATCCGTTGAAATAACATAAAATAATTTATTTTTTCATCATATTTTTTTTAAAAAAAATAAATAAATAGTGAAAAAAATATTTTTCCCTCATTTCAAGTATAAAAATAAAATATTTTGATATAAATCATCATCAAGGACGAAACGTACTAATTAATGAAAGATTGAAGATGATATTTGTGCTTTTGTGACAGTTTTCCATAAACACTATATTTGCACAATGGCATGGTGTATTAATTAACATCAATGTTTATTTAACAAAATTCATATTAAGATGAGTTCCATGTTCAAAGCTATCCAAGATCTCTAATCATATTTCTGGTCAAGCATTAAAATCCTACATATTTCTCTATTTAGGCAATCCTTGGTGATCGAGACGTTCCTTCATAGGTCTCTATGACCAAGGCATAAATGTTCATTTTATGACACATGGGTACGCGATGTGACCTATTTTGTGGTTGATGTGGCATTTAAGTGAAAAATAATAATTTATGTATGTAACATTAGTCATCCAAGTCTAAATTTTATGAAATATTTAAAATCAATGCAATTTAGGGAATTCCAGGGGGGCCCTAGAAATCATATGAATTGAAGGATTTCTGATATTTCTTTGCTTCTATTACTAAAATCTTTAAACTGTCTAAAGTTTAATTTATTACATTTCAGCTAGACTCCATATCAACCATGAAAGGGGCCTATCGTTTGCCATGCGCCTTCATATTTGAAAGGCACAGTTGACTGAAAGATGTATCAGCATCCAAGTCTTCCCTAAGCAATGGAGTATATAGAACCCTAACACTTGGCTACGAGCGTGATTGGAGGCATCAGCCAGCAACAACACTAAAGGCCTCGGTTTGGCCCGCCCTGGACATGTACAAAACCTTAGTACGAATTCTAATTGTATAAACACGGAATTTTGTTCACTAAACTCATTCATTTACACAATGAATTATTGGACAAATGTAATAAACATCCATAAGCTTTAGCAATGAGACATAACCATGACTTCAACATAATCATAAACCATGCAAAACAAAACCAAACGAATGGTATCCGGTATGTTTATTTGTTTTTCAATTTTATTATTATTATTATTATTATTTTATTTTTATTTTTTTTTAATTTTTTGCAATTGGAACAAATTCTAGATCAAATAGTAGAAAACATTATCACATTAATGAACAATTTCCATAAAAACGAAGGCAAACGGACACCCATTTTTCACATTTGTAATCAAACGGACCCTAAGTGATTAACATGTTTACAATTAATTTTCTCTCACACTTATTCTGATTGTCATCGTAAACCTAATTGTCCATCTACTATTATTTGCTTTCGATGCTAAACCAAACACAATATAATTCGTAATGCATTTTGGAATCCATTGACCCCTATCTTGGAAGATCGTGTGATTATTTCTGATCAACATAAACGGGCAGTTCCATGTTGAATTGTTCAACTAATTTCTCATGCGTTCAACAATTGGGACCATTTTGTTTGGTGTTTTAACAATAGCACTTACTAATTAAATAGAATAATACTATTTAGTTTTAACAAGTCTACGTGGCTGAACTTTATAGGTTAAATTAAATGAGATAATTGATTTTGCATTTAAATAAATTTATTATTTAATACTATGTAATTATCATGTAAATTATTGCTCAACACCAATGATAATGAATTATAATAATTGAAATGGCAAATAATTAGTCAGAGGAATCGAATTCTAGATTTTATTAACTCCTCTGTCCCACCAAGAGAACAAGTGAATAAAAAACTCCAAGGATCTGTCTAATCAGTTGCAATGAGTTATTCCACTACATTACCGCTACAGTGACATTAATATTGATAATTTTTCTAAGAAAAATGCTAAACGATCCGGGCCGGTGACCGCCGGGATGACCGCACACTCACACCTGAGGCACGGGTCCCATGTGAATAAAATAATCACAATCCCCCATGTGTGTGTGCAGTCATCCCCGCGGTCACCCACGCGGGTACTGTAGCACGGCTCTTTTTCTAACAGTGTGTGAGGGGACACATTTTTTTATCGATTTCAAAAATACTTTTTAAAAATAATTAATCTATACCTCATACAATCTTAACATTAATGTACAAATAGCATATTCCTATTCCACTATTTCGACTTATGTAGCTAAAAATCAAATTTTTAATACATTTTGATAAAAATCGATGAATATATGGTTCGAAAATTGTAAATTCATATGAAATTAAAATTAATTAATTTATGAACGATACAACACTTGATGCCAAACAGGGGCTTAGATTCTTTTGTGTGTTTTAAGCTAAGCCAAACATGCTTTAGCAAAATGGTGAAACTTTAATTTTTTCCTGAAACTAATTTCTAATATTTTAACTTTTTATCCTTTACGTCAGTTCTATTTTTCATTTGGAGATCGCCACCAAACCGCCCCTTCCGATATATACTCCACTCTCTCTCTCTCTAGGAAACTTCCAAGAAGCTCACTATGGCATACCACACCTCCCTGGCCTCCATTTAACCATCGGTTCTTCCCTGTTTCCCTCAAACCCTCCGTTCTCAATCCTATATCTCTCGTATCTTTCATTTGATTCATTTCTATGTCTACCATGAAGTTCATCAAAATTGTTCCCAAAAAGCTATTCAAGTTCAAGAAATCACGCTCCGTTTCCAGATCCGAGACCGACCCGTCTTCCTTCAGCTTCCAAACCACGTCGTCTTCCTCCGATGAATCACAATCTGGCATCAAGAAGCCGATCGACGGATTAGAAACGCCGACCAGCGTTCTGCCTTGTTTATCCTCCAGCGAGTCGTCCGAAATCTCTGCCGACGTTTACTTTGAACTAAAACAAGCCTTTGAAATGATAGACAGGGAAGGGTCTGGAAAAGTGAAGAAAGAGGAGCTGAAAACTTTGTTGAGTTGCATTGGCGCCGAGCCGCCGAGCCAAGAGGAGCTGACTATGATGTTAAACGAAGTGGACAGAGACGGCGATGGATGTATCAGCTTGGAAGAGTTCTACGCGATCGGCTCGGCTTTTGGGCCGCATGCTTGGGAAGCCGAGCTGAAGGAGACGTTTGACTTCTTTGACTCCGATCGTGATGGGAAGATAGCGGCGGAGGAATTGCTTAATGTTTTCAAAACTATTGGGGACTCGCAGTGCACGTTAGAGGACTGCCGGCGCATGATAAGAGGCGCAGATAGGAATGGGGACGGGTTTGTATGTTTCGAGGATTTCCGGCGTTTGATGGCCCAACAAAGATGAAAATTTGATATTTTCTTGTTTGAAAATGAAATGAAAATCACTATTTGCTGGTTCAAATTTTTTTTTTTTTTTTTATAATTATTATTATCTGGGAAAAGCGGTTGTGTTGTTTTATTAATGATTAAAAATTCATGTCGTGGATTAAAATTAGATTTTTAGTAAATTTTAATAAAAGTTGATTAAATATGTGGTTGAAAATTATGAATTTCATAAATGTAATTAAAATTAATTATTCAATCCGACTTAATTAAAATTTTGAATTAAATTCCAATTAAACAAGGGCTTAATGGATGGTATAACTGTCATGTGGACCACAAGTTCTTGAGTATGACTTATTTGGTAAGTGACAATAAACAAGATTAACTAAAATGTTTAATTATTATTATTATTATTATTATTATTAATAATTAATTAAGATCACTGATATAAGGATGATATTTTTACAAAGCAGGCTGATTTTATTACAAAATTTAATTTTTTATTAGTGATATGATTCGATAATAATGTTTATTATTTGGAAAAAGAGTAATTATATTACCGCCACAAAATTTAATTATTAAATCGTATTATAATCACACTATTAATCACGGACTCAACGTTTTTTGGTCGAAGTGCACTTCAATCGAAGAATGATAAGATTTCCAAGAGTGTTCATCCTAAATTTTGTATTGATATGAAGCACCTCTATGGAGAGTGGGAAATTGAATCTTATATTTTTCAAGTTTTTATTAGTTGTGCAAATGTTACTATTTTTAGACGATTTTTAGGGACTTCTAGATTATTTTTATGAGTTTACATTTTTCTATCATTATATTGAAGTAATAATTCAGTTAAACTTTTAAGATTTTTGATTTTGCAATGTTTGGTGGAGATTAAAATTAAATTTTAGTAGATCGCGATAGAAGTTTTTGAAATGTGTGGTTGAAAAACTGTGGGACCCACAAAAGATGTTGTTAATATTAATTGTTTAACTTTAACTCAGATCAAAATCTGATTTTAATCAGAAACAAACAAGGTAGATGCATAATATGCTTCAAAGTAAAAAAAAAAAAAAAAACTAATTCAAAATATTTCAACTCTAAATTTGCTTTTAATCAGAAACAAACAAGGTAGATGCATAATATGCTTGAGAGTAAAAAAAAAAAACTAATTCAATATATTTCAACTATTACTTATAAGCTATATAGATATAAACATTATACATGAAATAATTATCTCAAATTTCATGTATATTATTCTAAGACTCAAAGCGAAAAGAAAAATAGGCTCATGTTTGACATAGATAAAAATCAAAATTATAATAGATTTTGATATATCAAAATTCAAAATCCCACCAAACAAGCAAGAGAATTTCACAGGACTGTGCATTTAAGTAATTTATATTTTTTTCTTCTCTGGATGCTGTCATTCTACGTCGTTACATAGAGAGTGTAACTAATTATGCGTTTGGCTAAAACGATTTGCTTAATCATCCCATTTATTTGCTTGATCATTAAGTAGTTTTCCAAGGTATATAAATATCAACTCTTACTTATAAGCTATATCATTTAAATTGAAAATATTTTCACAAAGAACGCATTTTGAAACGTGCAATCCTATGAAAACTCCAGTTCTCAATTCAGAAACTAAAAGAAAACTTTTTATTTCTCAATTGAATTTGAAATCTTAAGGAAATTTTAGAAAAGCTTTTGACAAAAGCATTAAACAATAGTTTTGATAAAGAATTTTAATTCATTGGTTAGTTTCAGCTAAAAATTAACTTCATACAGGGAGTGGCCATCTTAGAGACATTTACTAAACAAATCAACTGAAACTGTATACAAAACAAGCGTTTGTAGTCCAACGGTTAGGATAATTGCCTTCCAAGCAATAGACCCGGGTTCGACTCCCGGCAAACGCATGCTGTAAAACTCTTGGTCTTCTCTCGTTTGTTAAACTTTTGCACCGTGTTTGGCTAAAATGATTTGCTTAATCATCCCATTTATTTGCTTGATCATTAAGTAGTTTTCCTTGAACATTCAAGGCCCCATTTCGATTTGCATGAATCTCTTTAAAATATCTCTTAATTAATTAATATCTCTTAATTAATTAGTTTTTATTTCGAGTGTAACTAATTATGCGTTTGGCTAAAACGATTTGCTTAATCATCCCATTTCTTTGCTTGATCATTAAGTAGTTTTCCAAGGTATATAAATTTCAACTCTTACTTATAAGCTATATAAATATCAACATTATACATGAAATAATCATCTCAAATTTCATGTATTTTTTTCTAAGACTCGAAGCGAAAAAAAAATAACGTAGATAAAAGTCAAAATTATAATAGATTTTGATATATCAAAATTCAAAATCTCACCAAACGAGCAAGAGAATTTCACATGACTATGTGCATTTAAGTAATTTATATTTTTTCCTCCTCTCGCTGCTGTCATTCTATGTCGTTACATACATTAAAAAAAAAAAAAAAACTATTCAACATATTCAGAAAATTAATTTCTTAATTTGACCAACTCATCATTCCAGAAGTTCTGAAGAATTAAGAATAGAAATTAGTAAAGAACTTTAATCACACTCAAACAAATAAAAATATTAAATTAATTAATTGTACTTTAACAAGATTGGAAAAATATATTAATCTAATCCGTTTCTCCCTAATCAATAAATAAACTCCAGTCATAGTACGTTATTATAATAAATCCCTTTCTTCTACTTAAATAATTAATTAAGTATTCCTCGAGAATGTTTTGCAAGTTGTTTAAGAATTTTTTTTTGTTCGTCCTATATTACAGAAAATTCTGGATTTCTGACAAGAGAAAAAACTTAATCTCAATCAATGTCGTTTAAATTCTATTTATTATAGCAGCAACCTAATTCACACTTTTCTTTTTTTTTTTTCATGAAGCCCAAAAACGTGTCTTGGGTACATTACAATTGAAAAATTTATAATTTGCTTAAATTTCAACTCATATAACCCTTATTCAGTAGAAATTAAACTTCAAATTTTAATTTAAATCAAATTCAATAATTAATTTTAATTACACATTTTAATATTTTATTTTAACTACGCATTTTATCAATTTTTATCAAAATCTATAAACATTTAAAAAAAAAAATTTGACGTTGAAACCTGTAACCACTGTGAGTGCGCATTAGGTAAACCCTACTCTATATGCAGTAGCTCGCAAACCACACAAAAGAGGTAAATCGCATTGAGTAAGTCTGGTGCGACGGGTTCAATCGAGAAAGTATTGGTAGGGATTCGAACTCGTGACATTTGATCTCCGCGTTCACCTGCTCCACATGAGAGTGATATAATGTCCATTAAAGTATTGTAAGTAAAAATGATTTAATCGTTAAATAGATGTAACGGCTTAAAAGGAAGAATAAATATATAGGTAG